CGAGGGCTTCAGACAGGTCTCCTGCACTAACAAAATATCTACAAGATTATCGCGGAGGAATTCGAAAATTTGATCGCGTTGCCGCGCGAGTCCGTTAGCATTGTAGAATGCTAACGTAAGGGAATACGGTTTTTCTCTACCTTTTTGCGCCATTGATTACCGGTAAAGAATTTTTATAACGTGCGAGACACGGACTCGTAGACGTCCATGTGATCGAAAGCGGCCGCGAGCCGCTGTTCGGGGGTTACCGACCTACGGATAGCATCTGCGAACGATCGCAGACGGTCAAAGTTTACCGCGGTGACGAAGTCGCGCACGAGCGCGAAGTCGTTGACGACTGAGGGTTGCGGGGGGTAGCGCGCGGGGCGAGGTGCGAGCAGGGGAGGGCTGGGGCGCGTGAGGTGTCGCGCTGGGGTACGTTTTGTGTGTTCCCTCCTTCGTATACGGCAGCGGTTTTTTCCACGCCGAGACGGTGGGAACCGCAGCCGGTACGAAGGATGGTTTCGGCACTGAAGGCGCCGAAGTCTTTGGGTCGACGGTTCGGGGGGCTGGGTGGTTCAGGCGTTTACGCGGAGCCCTAGGACATCCGCGGTAGTTTGCCGGGTGCCCTTGCTTAAGGCATAGGACACAGCTTGGGGGTTCCGTCGCGGTTTCCCTAACACGCGAACATTCTGTGGTTGCGTGATCGCCGAGGCATTTCACGCAGCGGGGGCGCGCGTGGCAATTACGCGCTGAGTGGCCATAGAGCTGGCACCTGTGGCACTGCCCGGGAGTACCACGTTTATGGGGGGCTTCGATGGTGACCCCGGAGAGGCCGAGTATCGTTTTGAGACATGAGATTCTTTTCTTTGCCTCCGGGGTTGATTCTAGCGCGACGAGAATCATATTGTACGGCTGTCTGCCGCGTCCGCTGTGCATCCGGTGCACACTAATTATTGGGAGGGACTGACCGATCAGATCCTCCTTTACGTAGTCTATGTCGAGTTCCTTGGGGACTCCACGTATCACTACGCGGAGTTCGCGGTCCTCCTGAAGAGCATAGGTGTGATAACCTATGTTCTCCTTTCGGAGGTAAGCAGAGAGGGCCCTATGGTCGCCCGGCGTTGACCTTAATCTGAATCCCATGCGCGACGTTACGCGCATGGGTATAATTAATTTTGTTGGCCTGAAGAGCCTGGGATACGCGATTCCACGCTGACTTCTGGAGTCTAGGCGGGGGCGGACAATGGTTTTTAGGGCGCCGGGGGGCAGGTTTTTGGGCGCGGGGTGGGATTACGCGGCGGGCGGAGTCCGTCCGGCGTTACGACTACCTGCGGTCGGGAGGCGGTCGCGGACTTGGTTTGCTTCGTCATGGAGCTCCGGGACTCCACGACGCGAGTACGCTTTTTACCGCGCGTTACAGTTTGGAACCCATCCGAGGTTCCGGGTTGAGGGCTAGTCGCGGACTCGAAGTCCATCTCCGATTCGGTATCGGAGCCTGAACTAGACGCTATTGAGGTCGCGACGGACGAAACTGACGTGATTGACGCGGGCGTAGCGGGGGCGTTAGACGCTACGGCGGCGTGCGTACGTGCGCTTGAACACGGACCGGCGGCGGGGCACGCGAGGCATGCCTGCGAGGCATGTTTGGCGACGGCGGCGAGAGATGCGGGGGGAGAATATTTACCAAATGAGGCCCTATAGGCTTCGAATTCGGGCGCGATTGACGGGATATTTTTCCCGAATGAAGTCGATGAAAAGTTTTTCCTCCATCTTTACGTGCTTTTCGCCCGGGGGGGGCGGCCCCGGGACTTAAACACGCGCTCGCCTTGCGGCGAGGCCCCTGCGTCGGTAACATAAATTGGCCGAAGAAGCGATTCTAGGAATTTTAGAAATTTTAGTGAATAGAATAAATAGAATAGAATTAGAGTGAATAGAACCACTGCACAGTTCCCGGGCGGCAATGCCTTGCAATTAGGCGCAGGTACAAATTCCGAGAAACACTTGGGCCACAGATGTGCCACGAACAATGATCTATTATCACCGGTAGTCACTTCCGACAAAACAATGAGCACGTCCACGCGCGTCGGTTGCTCAAATCGGAATGCTTAAAGTCAATGTTGTATAGTAATTGTTTATTTTTTGTTGTATGGTATGTAGAACAAAAAAATATGTAAAACAAAGTGAGTTCACTGTGTGAACGAACGAACGAACGTGTGCGAACTGTTGCACTAAATTTTTTTTTTCTCAGTACTGGTAAATGTTATCGCTATGATTTTTGTTTATTTAGTGAGAATATTAGTCTAGTTATGTTGATTATTTTTATTGTAGGTCTAACTGTTGTATTTGCGTATCTGTGACACGTAAAGTTTATCTAGAATTACGGCTCGCGCCGCCAGATTTTTATGCAAATTTAAAGGGCTAATAAATTATTTTGTATGGGAAGGTGTATGGTTATATTTTTTATCTTAATTAATATAATTTAAACAATTTTATTTAAAATAAAATAAAACATATGTTATCGCTTAATTTTTTGAGATATTATTATTTAAACACAAGTCGTGCTCAAAAACGCGCTATCTCTGTGTTCAGCGTATCGTAATTCTACACCGTAGTTGAATAATAATAAACAAAACACTTCACTGTAAAGCATAATTCATACTAAGCTTAAAAAACACAACACTTCTAGTGTTACAATAACAACTTGAGGTACAATTAACGGTTTTGTGATAAAGGAGCCGCGCGGCGCAGTTAAAAAAAACGGTCGGCCACTTAACAAAAAACATTAGGGCGCTTGAGGGTGAAGGTCAAAGAGCCCATTAAGCATAGAGCGGCTAAGAAAGCCCGCCCGTTCGAATTTTGGTGCTTACTCTCCCTTAAACAGAATCCTTTGGGACTACAATAATCTCCACGGTAGCGCGGTCTGCGTCAATGTTCATTCGGAGTTGTCCGATTGCGCTGAACTAATTTTAAGTGATGAAATAGATGTTTTTTCTAATTGTCTCACAACTTACAATTTTTTTTTTATTGCTCAGATGTGTGGACGAGCTCACAGCCCACCTGGTGTTAAGTGGTTACTGGAGCCCATAGACATCTACAACGTAAATGCGCCACACACCTTCAGATATAGTTGAAGGTCTCAGTATAGTCACAACGGCTGCCCCACCCTTCAAACCGAAACGCATTACCGCTTCACGGCAGAAATAGGCGGGGCGGTGGTACCTACCCGTGCGGACTTACAAGAGGTCCTACCACCAGTAATTACGCAAATTATAATTTTGCGGGTTTGATTTTTATTGCACGATGATATTCCTTCACTGTGGAAGTCAATCGTGAACATTTGTTAAGTATGTATATCATTAGCAAAATTGGTACCCGCCTGCGGGATTCGAACACCGTTGCATCGCTTGATACAATGCACCGGACGTCTTATCCTATAAGCCACGACGACTTCTAATTTCGTCCCCAATAACCAGTTTTCTGGGTAAATAGGGATAACACCTATTTTTCCTTTTTTTGCTTAAACTGGAATGCTAATTGCATAGGTTTAAATTGGATAACAAAGATAGCCCCAAGACTCAATCATTTTGATCCTGATATAGCATTTTAAACATCAACAACTACCTTAAAATTGTTCATGAAGTTGGAATTCCCGAATCACCCCATTTGATCGGTACCACAGATTAGTTTAATAGCTTAATAATAAACTTGTCCTTTATCACACTGCACATTTGCACATTAACCAGGACAAAACAATACTTGTAATTTAGCATTAATAAAATTGGTTTAGAAGAAACACAGAAATAACCTGTAAAAACATGCATAGGTTTGTTAATGAACTTACTTTGTTTTGTTACTAGTATGTTGTCTCGGTCTCTACTTACTGCTTACAAACTGGAACTATGCTATGTTATTGTTTTCAAAAGAAAATTTGTTAACTGCCAGTGTTTTTTAGAATAGTACATTTCGATTTGAAAGGAGCTCCATTAAAAGTTCAATATTTGGAACAGGTAAATACAAACTTTTTGGTTCTTTTTCAAATAAAAGTAAATAGGATTTATGTAGTATTAAAAAATTAGTGCAATATTTAATTTAATAATTCATCAAACACATTATTTAATTTAGTTAGATATCTTAGCGCTGTTTTCCTACTTCACAGCTGCTGCAGATTTCTCTAGAGATTGCAGATTGCTTTAGATTTTCTCATTTTTTATTTTGATAATTCTGATCGTATCAATTTAACTGGTATATGTCTCGCGTCACTTAGCGCACACGTAAGAAACTAATATTTAGTTTATTGCCACTTACTAAAAATTCGTACAAAATTTCAACCAAAACCCACCAGCGCCTAGTGCTACATATTTTCATTTATAATCAGTTAGGATTACTGGTAGACAATGAAAACACTGCTTTTGAAACATACTTCCTCAGCTAAAGTTAGAGTTAGTTAATAAGTTGGATCTTGCTGAGTAAGGATTATGAATCTATATATATAAAAATGAATTGCTGTTCATTAGTCTCGCTAAAACTTTAGAATGGCTGGACCGATTTGGCTAATTTTGGTCTTGAATTATTTGTGGGAGTCCAAGTTTAAAAGGTAGATAAATATGAAAATGCTCGGAACTAAATAAAAATAACGATTTTGTTTTCCCTTTGATGTTTCTCCCTTGGGATGGATTCCTTTTGTTTGTTGTAAGCTTATTTTATACAAAAGCAAGTCTTTTATTTGTCGATTGAGGAACTACGAAGTCTGCCGAGTCAGCTAGTTTATTTATAAATATTGTTATAATATTAAAACAATGTTGCAACAATTTTAAGTTCAGAATTTATAAGAAAAAACTTTATCTACTATCTTCATCTATTTACAAGGTTATTATCCATATTAAATCATGGGGAGCGACTGGAGTATTGTTCGAGTGGGAAGACACCTTCCCATATACTGGAGACTTGCAGATCGTTGGGAGCATAGCAAATGCTGGAGGAGATGGTCTTTACAGTATAGAGGAAACCAGACATCTCCTTGATTTTGCCAACCAAAATGGATTAGTTCCTGTGAGTATGTCCAATATGTCCATATTTTTTTTGCATTCCGTCACAATTACTAAATGGTTCAATTATTGCTTATAGTTACTAGAGTCTATAGACAGGATGAGAATGTTGTTGTTAATTTTGAGATATGAGGTGAAATTATTTGTAGAATTTTACAGTGGCCATTACAGCTATGAAATAGATGATATAATAAGCCCTATAAAAGTTATGGAAGTAATCTTACAGAGTAACTTTAGTAGAATTTGGAAGTTGTTTGCTCCCAAACACATAAAAATTATGAAAATCTAAATGAGAATGAACTTTTAAGATTTTTTATTGCTATTGTTGCAGATTCAGTTAGTTCAAACTATAGGGCACCTGGAATTTGTCTTAAAACATCCGGCATTTAGGAACTACCGAGAGACACAACGGTCACCAGCAGTTCTCTGTCCCAGCCAACCTCAATCTTTACAAATTGTGAAGGCTATGGTCAACCAGGCTTTAGATTTGCAACCAGACGCAAAATATTTTCATATTGGGGCTGATGAGGTAAAATAAGATATACAATCTTAATTTAGATTATAGTATAAGCAGCTATTACTTTATTGGTTGGTTATGGTTGAGTTTACTGGAGGTAGGACCTCTTAGGAGTCCACACGGGTAGGTACCACCACCCTGACTATTTTCTGCTGTGAAGCAGTAATTCTTTTTTGGTTTGAAGGGTGGGGCAGCCGTTGTAACTATGCTATACTTGAGACCTTAGAACCTTATCTCAAGGTGGGTGGTGCATTTACGTTGTAGATGTCTATGGGCTCCAGTAACCACTTAAGATACAGTGGGCTGTATTACGCATAAAAGCAGTAAAAAAAAAGTTAGCTGCCCAGTGAAGAGTGGCTTAGTCACAAAAGCATTGTGATTATAAGTCAAGGTTTAGTATAATATGTCCCACCAGACTATAACCATAGATAGCTTAAAGCTGATTATTATGGTATAGTTTCATAAGTGTTGCTAATAGAATACCAGATTAATATGCTAGCAGCTGATGAAGTGTTAAACATATGATAGATCATTAAATATTAAGAATATATTGGTAATAACGGAGCTGGGACTGGATTAGGTATCCATGTTTGCTCTCATTCCGTCTTCCTTATTTGAAGACTGAAATATCATACAGAAGACTGCTGGAAGCAGTGTTTTTTTATTTTATTGCTTAGATGGGTGGACGAGCTCACAGCCCACCTGGTATTAAGTGGTTACTGGAGCCCATAGACATCTACAACGTAAATGCGCCACCCACCTTGAGATATAAGTTCGAAGGTCTCAAGTATAGTTTCAACGGCTGCCCCACCCTTCAAACCGAAACGCATAACTGTTTCACGGCAGAAATAAGTAGGGTGGTGGTACCTACCCACGTGGACTCTCAAGAGGTCCTACTAGGGTAGGTGTACTAGATGTATAGGATTCCACACCAAACTAGTGAACTCTACTGAGTGGTGATAGTATTCATTTGTCCACTCTTTCATTTGTTTTATGCTTTTGCCAAGTAAGGTAAATTGATTTGATCTTCAATAGGTATGGCATACAGGCGTATGTCATGAATGTCAAGAGAGAGCGGCAAGGAGTGAGTACAGATTGTCTTCCCTATTTTTGGAGCACATACAACAATTAGTCTTATTCATTAAGCAGAAAAGACCGGAATTGACGGTTCTGATGTGGGATGACATGCTAAGGACGATACGTCTTGATACATTGTTGGGTAAGATACTTACACTTTTAGTTTATTAATTATAAATTATTGATATAATTGTTATTTTGTTGTATAATCCTTATTGAATGAATTACTTTGACAATTTTTCATAGTTATCTGTTGCTAGGATTCAACCGATATGAATGGGTGTATGATAAACACAGAAATATTCAGTTTCATATTTTCATGTGAAATTTTATTTTTTTAGCATACAAACTAGGTGAACTTGTGGAGCCCGTCATCTGGAATTACAGTGCAATGGAGTACTTTCAAATAGAGTCAGATTTGTGGAGTAATTATAAAAAATTGTTTCCAAAAGTCTGGGCCGGGTCTGCCTTCAAAGGAGCTAATGGCAGTTGTCAGGTAAGAAAACAACAAATACCTATAAAATTTAGTGTTTTTATTTTCGTTTTATTGCTCTCAAGTGATTTTGGTAGCACAATATTCAAATGTACAATTTAGTAAGACCGGAAATAATGAAGCCTTAGAATAAATCGTAATAATAATAATGGCTGGTACCAAATCCCTCACGGTCATCTGGCCCTAATTTAGGGTTTCCTGTGTTATAGGTACCAGTGACTGACATAAATACTTATGGTTAAATCACTACATAGTATAAAACAAAGTCGCTTTCTCTGTCCCTATATCCCTATGTAAGCTTAAATCTTTAAAACTACGCAACGGATTTTGATGCGGTTTTTTTTAATAGATAGAGTGATTGAAAAGGAAGGTTTATATGTATAATAACATCAATTAAATAGTGGAGAAATCAATAATAAATTACAGTTTCCGAAGCGAAGCGAGGGCGGGTCGCTAGTATATACATATATCGATAATAAAACCCAAACAACGAGTAAAAAACCTGTTCATCACACTAAAATTTGTCTGTTGTGTGAATCGAACTCACAACCCTTAGAACAACAGTTAGGACCGCTAACTATTCCACCACCGATTCAGTTGAATAAAAAATATGTGTAGCTTAGTTAATGAGCATTATTTGAAATTAAATGCTAAATCGCCTTTTCGCATTAAAAGTGTACAATTTCCAAAAATATTCGAAATTGAGTTAATATGCGGAATCATTTGGTATCACCAGTATTTTTCTAATAAATACTGTCAAAAGAGTGTAGGTAGTTTAGTTGTAGTTTTGTTTTTTTGTGTTTTTAGGTTACCTTTGTTTTGACTACTATTAACAAAATTAATTCATAATTTTATCTTACTTTAAAAGACAGATAATGTTACTGGTAAAAAAATGTTGCAAAGATGATTAATATTAAAAATATTACATGTTAAACCTTTAAAACACTCTCCTGTAAAATTAGGCAGTTTTGAGGTTATACAGTTTTAATGCGAGAAGACGAAATCTGTTACACTATTATTTAGGTACAGAGTTTTCATTGATATATGAGTCGACTTAATAGTCGACTTGTTAATAGTCATAATAGTTAATAGTCGATTGTCCAAAAGTCACTGTGTGCCAAAGGCAATGTGACTTTTGGACAATTATTGGTAAATCAGAAAAACGATTTATTGACTTTGTATTCCATTGGCAGTCACAAAACTTTTCTGATCGACATCTTAGATAAATAACAGGTTAAGTTAATACTTTATTTAATGCAGGTTTTGAACCATATTCTTTGAAGGAGACGATTATATTCAAATCAATCTGTATTGCCATATCAATAACATTTTTTTGTCCAAATGCACAGATTGCCACCTTTGATAATAGACGACTCATATAATTGAAGTTGCACAGTTGTTAATGTATGTCATGACTATTGTTTCCCCATAGATGTTATCCCCGGTGTGCCGCTACGTGAGCAACCATGAGGCCTGGAGGCGCGAGTTCAAGAAGTGTGGACCTAATATAAACTTTGCTGGAGTCATCCTGACTGGCTGGTCCAGGTAATATATTTTTTATTGCTTCTGTGCGTGGATGAACTCACAGCCCACCTGGTGTTAAGTGGTTACTGGAGCCCATTCACATCCACAACGTAAACGCGCCACCTACCTTGAGATATAAGTTCTAAGGTCTCAGTATAGTTACAACGGCTGCCCCACTCTTCAAACCGAAACGCATTACTGCTTCACGGCAGAAATAGGCGGGGCGGTGGTAACCTACCCGCGCGGAATCACAAGAGGTCCTACCACCAGTAAAACCTTCCCTCCGGAATAGTTAGTGACAAATGAAGAGCTATGTGCATTAATCTTGGTTAGTGGAGTTAGCACTTAGAACAATTATGTGTTGTTCACTACACATATTAGTGTTTATCACATAGTACAAAATGTTAATTGTAAATTAATCTATTTGTACTGCAAAATTCTGATGTTTTGCCAATGTCGGCTGCGCGCCGGACACGTCCCTTTTCACGAACGAATCTAGTGATAACTGGTTACCGGAGCCCATGGACATATACAACATAAATGCCGCCAACTACCTTGTTGGGACACTACAATAAAAACTACGCGTGTGAAAAATGGCGCGGAGAGTGTGTAAACAACTAAAACATGGTGCCGGTGCAAAAACAATAAAATTGTGATTTGTTGCTCAATCAGCACATACAACTCTCGCCAGTGAGAAAATAGAATAGTGCATCAACGAGCTACGGAGTGAGTCCTAAAACTTATCCTTTTCCCAGTCCCAAACATATTTAAATTCAAAACATACCTTGAGATATGAGTTTTAAGGTCTCAGTTGTAACAGTGCAACGGCTGCCCCGCACTTCAAACCGAAACGCATTACTGCTTCACGGCAGAAATAGGCAGGGTGGTGGTACCTACCCGCGCGGACTCACAAGAGGTCCTACCACCAGTAAACTCAACCATAACCAACCAATAAAGTAATAGCTGGTTATACTATAATCTAAATTAAGATTGTATATCTTATTTTACCTCATCAGCCCCAGCTATGAATGTACCGGACATCTTATCCCTTAGGCCACGACGACTGTAATTTAGCGAATTTTATTTTTGAAGACAGCAATCGATGTCTTCAGCACAAAAACCCTTCCCTTAGATCAGCGGTCGGGGAACCGGGGTAAATTACCCCAAATGGGGTAAAATGACATTTTGGGGGGTAAAAATGAAACTTTTGTGAGTAAAAAGTATATATTGAAGTGAAACTTCTTTACAATCGTTAAATTTTTAGTTATTGTTTTCCTTTCAAAATTATCATGGGGGCTTTAATATGAAATATACTAAAAAGAAGCTGTTGTAACCTTCTTTTCCATATTCCATTATTTGAAATATACTTCAAACACATTGTCATTTTTGCTACCTATTATTATTATATTTTATGCTATGTCTTGAAAACATTGTTTTATTATATTGGCGACGAGTTAAAAGAAATTAAGATGAACGATGAACAATTCGCATTATTTTTACATGCATAACAAAACCAGCAAGAGCAGATTTTACAAATCTTGAAATTGTTGGTACCAGCAGTTTGCAATACAACAGCCAAGAGCGTGACGAACGACTCTTTAACAAAACATGATACGGATAACAAGATAAGTATAATCAAACATTTCAATATGGATAAATACAATCCAGATACATTCAGAATTGACGATTACATTGATTTTTTCGAAAACAAATGCAAAATTCTTGATATCGATAACAGCGACTTACAGAAAGATTTGCTTCTGAATTTACTAACACCAGAGATATTCCACGAATTAAAAGNAATTCACCTTCACAGCATTCGAAGTTATACTCCTCACCTGCTCCGGTCTCCACTCCTGTGCCATTTGCTCCGCGTCGAAGTAATCGACCTAAACAGGCACCCCGCCGTCTGATCAACGAGATGTAGATGGGGAGGAATGTTGTAACCTTCTTTTCCATATTCCATTATTTGAAATATACTTCAAACACATTGTCATTTTTGCTACCTATTATTATTATATTTTATGCTATGTCTTGAAAACATTGTTTTATTATAGAAGCGATTTCGTTTTTTTTGTTCTTCGCCATGGCGTAATATCAACTTACACAACAATATTTTGGGGTAATAATTAAAAGAGTTCCCCGACCGCTGCCTTAGATGGTTACCCGCTACAACATATTATGCAATTAGTTATCGAAGTGATCTTAATGATATTAATTCCTTTTTAGATACGACCATTATGCTACGCTGTGCGAACTGTTGCCGGTGTCATTGCCAAGTCTGTCGAGCTGTCTGAAAGTGTTGACCAAGAGTGATGATTCTCAGGGTACGTTTAAATTAGTTTATGGGTATTCATAATTACATATTATATTAATCTGTAAAAACAAACAAAAAAAAAAGGGTATTTGAAGACTATTTAATAGTATACGGGTGTCAACCCTGTATAGTTTGTAAGTAATGTAGGTTATATGTAGTTGCCTTAATAAAACCAAATATTTCCAAATTCACTCATGTATATTGTCACAAAATTAATGTCACAAGAGTCTCCTGTGTTGTGCAGGCTGTGTATGATTAACTTATTACAATAAGCGATGGACACTTGTATGTAATACTTAACTGTGTCCTTATAAATATGTAGTAACTTCACAATAAAACAAAAAAAAAACTTCATATTTCTTCATCTCTGTCACTGCTGATCTATTCACATTCTACGTCGTATCGAAGTGCTGTTCTGTTTAAAAATTTCAATTATATTCTAATTATTTTATATTCAAATCTAACTATAAAATTAAATTTAACTATATTCAATATAATAATTGAATTTAATAAATCTAATTTATTAATTAATATTAAAATCTACATTCTTTACATACATATGTATACATATATGTAGAATTAGGATTGTGGCGCATGAAATTAAACTATTAAAACTATTCCACTGTTGCGCGTTTATTGTAATTTTTTTTAATGATTGAGGTGTTGCTTTTGGTCCTTGGAGGCCTTTCCAGTTTCACCAGGACAAGTGGGCGAGCAAAGTTTCAGCCAGGAGGATTTACTTTCTTATTCTCTATCTCCCTTTCTTACCGTTTTCTCTCAGGTTCCGTTCTTACCCATCTTACATATATTGCAGAGGTCGGGTCGAGCGACGTGTTGCCGACCGCGCAGTGGGCTGGCGAGCAGCTCGCGCGCTGCGTGCACTCCCTCGCCATCCTGCGGGAGAGAGCCTTCTCCTTCGTGCACGGAGAGCAGTAAGGCCTACCTACCCACCTGCTGCAGGGCACCACCAACAATCGCACCACATTGTGTGATATACTGCTGCTCCTAGTCTATAGTGTATGTATGTTGTTTTTTGCTAAGCGGTTACCGGAGCCCTTAACGATATGAGGCTTAACCCGATTAAGTCGATTAGTGTTACTAAGGTGCCGGAATATCTAGTAGACCCTGGGAAAGACGAATCTGAAGTTACAGAGGATGAATATTATTTGTAAGAGACCTAAAAGACAAAAAAAAAAATGATTATTCCAGGTGCTTAGTATTAGAAATCAGCATAATTACTTTAGTGCATCGCGTAGGGCACCAGTGACCTACACGGCAGTTAAAGGGTTAAGTCTCGATGGTATAGTACAACGGCTCACCATCCTACGGACTAAATAGACTCATGATCTTGATGATCTGCCTTGTGACGTTTATTCCTTAATTTGATATTTTATGTAATGCAGCGTGACGACCTGGATGAACCCTTGGCAGCTGGAGAGGAACTACACGAATCCGGCACACCTGGAAACTATAGCCCGGGACGCGGGAGTGTGAGTGGATATTTTTAAATACTGATACGGCTTCTGGTTACTCGACCTTTTAGCTTAATTTATCTGTTTAGCTTTAGCTGATTTGTATTGTTCCGTTTTGGAAGAGCCCCACAAGTCAGAGCTAATAATATTGTCTGATTTCCCTGATTGATTGACACTAGATAACTTTAATTCTTTTTTTTTGTTTAATAATGCACAAAACATATTACAAGCATTACAGTACATTACATAATATTAACTAAATCGTACAAGTAGTACCTAAATCTAATCTGGATTGTAATCTAAATGATATATGCATTCAGCAAACCCGTATTAATATACATAGCTTTGGCTATTGAAAACAAAATAAAAAATTACAAATAAAAATAAAATTAAAATTTGGTAGAACATAATAATTCAATGACGTCACTACTCAAGAACTCTCACGTATGTATGTTCAATGGCATTGAAAATTTAATATGCAATTCACACGCTTTGGAAGTGTAACCTTCTAATAATGTAATAATCTAATAATCAAATAATGTAATAATAAATAATCTAATAATGTAATAATATTCTATCTCATTCTCTCGTAGGCTAAACGCTATATATGTCTGTCTCGTTTTAGTGGCGCTTTTTTCACTTCATCGAGTTTAAATAACAATAGTGCGTTATTTTATTTTCCAGATTGCAGTCAGAGCTAAGTTCGTTGCAAGCGAACCTGGAGGTCCAATTGCCGAAGTTGACCGGCCCCAGGAGCACCGAGGAGTGGTTGGCCACGAACGTGACGCCGGCTCTGCGTCAAGTGGCCGACTTGCACCGCGTGGCCCACGAGAGGCTGAACGCGGCCGTCGGGATCTCGCCCCTTCGAACACATAACGACGGATGATGCGGTCTGCCCTGTTCAACTCTTATATATCGCTAGTTTCCAGTAGATCATTCCATTTTGGACTGGTGGTAGGACCTCTTGTGAGTCGCGCGGGTAGGTACCACCGCCCTGCCTATTTCTGCCGTGAAGCAGTAATGCGTTTCGGTTTGAAAGGTGGGACAGCCGTTGTAACTATACTTGAGGCCTTAGAACTTATATCTCATGGTGGGTGGCGCATTTACGTTGTAGATGTCTACGGCCTCTGGTAACCACTTAACATGAAGTGGGCTGTGAGCTCGTCCACCTATCTAAGTAATAAAAAAAATATATCAATAGACAACGGCGAACCAACTGTAGATTTTCAAGGAGGAAAATATGCCTCTTTTTTTTGTCACGTGTTTTTTTTTGCCAATTTCATTCTGTCAATTTCAAGTCGTGACTTGGTATCTGTGTGCTTCCAAAAGTCGAATGAACTATCAGTAACTTCCCCTCGTTTTGTTGAAAGAATTAATGAAGATTGTAAGAATACAATCATTTTTAAAATTGGCTAAAAAGTCGATATTCAAAAGTTGTAAACACCAACTTTTTTTTTTATATATAAATTTGTATGTAATTTTTCTTTTGTAAACACCGATCACATATTGTTGTGTTTTTAATGATTTGTTCCCTGATCGTGTTGAGGCTGATACAGTTCTTGGCGCGTCAGAGAAGGGTTTCGTCACCGTACTAACAACGATAGATGGCGCACGAGTAGTTACAACAATATTACTATAATTCGTTCATTTACAGATGGTCGCAGTCCAATATTATTTAAGTAACGTAAAACAAATACACAGTTCTCATATTTTTTCGGTAACATACAATGTTTGCGTTTGTCTTTGCTTGCAAAAAAAAACCACAGTATTTAATGTGGAATATTTCTCTTCAATTTCGACAGACAGTGCTATGATTCTATAAAATTTCGCTTTAGTATTATGAATGCCAAAGATGAACTTATTATTTTCATTTCAATAAAAGCTGTGTAGAGTGAATTGTATATGCTTATATCCATCTCTGTCTCTATACTTTACCGGTTACCGTGCCGAAGAGTTCGATGAGTGAACTAACTAAACTAACATAGATAGTCCACTCAACCAGCTACAGCGAATAGGCAGGGCAAAAAGCCTCGATAACAGCCGAGGGGTGTACAGTGACGTCATTGTGCATGTTGAAAGCTAATAAAACTGTCAGTTTTTTGTTTGCATCAAGTATCAAAATAAAAAGGTTGTTTGTTAACAAAAGCTGAAATGTATGAGTAAATGTATGTATGAGATACTTTTTTTTCATATGGAACACAAAACATATTACAACCTATAAAAAAGAGATACATAAAAATAAAATAAAAATCAATGTGCTAAAGGTACACAATGCTCCTAGCAGTTATAGGATAAAATAATATGATAACGAAAAACAAACCTTTTTTTAAATTCATTTTTTAAATCAAAAGCTTTATTTAAAAAAAAAAGCATGTATGGAAAACATTATTGTGAATACTTTTATTTTTCAAAGTACGGCCACAATGAGTTTGCTATGCTATTTGGTCTCATTATTTTCTGAATATTGAATCATTTGACTATGGATTGTTTTAAATTAATGAATAAATTATGTAAACAAATAGAGAAGTTGATTGGAATAAGTTGATTTTATTTTGTTACCTACCTGATTATCCTACTGGCACACGCATCAATGAATATTATCTATACAAATAAATGAAAAAAAATGTTTATCGCACGTGATGCGAATGAACGTTGGTAAGAACCCCAACGGGCGGGCCCAAGTGCAGATGGTTGGACATCGTCGAACAATGTGATTAGTGCGAGAATTTAAACGTTCTCGATAGCGTAAAAGTTAACTCAAATTTGTATGAAGTTGGATCAGCGCCCCTAGCGGCAAACGTAGGCAAACCTTCCAATTCGACGAGTTTACTTTTACGCTGTCGAGAACGTTAAAAATCTAGCGCTATGCACACAGGGCACCTATGAAGTTGCGAGGTCACAGATTGGAGAAGGAAATACACGAATAAATCTGACTGGAAAGGTTAACGGGATCGGGCTAAGGCTGTAATCCCTCCGATGACGACGATGAAGAAAATTATACATAAAACCGCGAGGTTAAGATCTATATTTGTTTTTTTTTCATATCGCCTGCGAAGCACCTGTCGATCGTAGGGTTTTTTTTATTGCCCTTGTAGGCAGACGAGCATACGGCCCACCTGATGGTGATGGTGAGTGGTTACCGTCGCCCATGGACTTCAGCAATGCTAGGGGCAGAGCCAAGCCGCTGCCTACCGCATATATACCGCGGTGTATACCTTGTATCTGTAGGTAACTACTTACTGCCTATTTGCTCTGCGAAACGTGAATTGGTTTGAAGGGTAGATCATCCATCCACCTCGCAAATAAAGAGTCCGATTTTGCTTCAAGATAGGAACGTCTTTCAAATTATACAACCACTATATAAGTTTTTCGTGTTCTGAAGACTTTGGAAGACTTGCGTTCGTGCATTCCGGTACGGAAAGTGGGATAATCTATACTAATATATAAATCTACAGTGGTTTTTACGGATGTTCCGTTATAACTACTGAACCGTGCATCCGATTGACTTGTAACTTGGTATCCATGTAGAAAATACATGTACTTAATGGATAGGCTAATATTTATATGAGTTTTGGACTCCCTACACCAGTTGCGAGGGCGTTAATGTTGAGAATCTTTGTGGGGGTGAGAAATAATAATGTTTATTTTAAATGCCTATAAAACTGTACATGAGTTATTGAACTCATGTGTCTGGTGGATAGCGGCATTCGCGTTGTGATATCTACGGTGTCTGGTACCACTTAAGGCCGTTCGAGTCGTGTCGCCAGAAACACTTTCTTTTTATTCAGTCAGAGCGCTCGCCTGAAGATAGTTCTTAAAAAACTTAAATCGCGTGTCCCACAAAATTTGATTACCCCTATAGCGTACAAAATAAATTTTACCTACCCACACATTTAAGTAAAACGTTATTATGATATAGAGCTCAAGCTCAAAGATTAATGCAAGCGGGAACGAAATAAAAATGTTCAAAATGCTCACCGTACATCACGTTGAAGATGCTTTGTGACGTCGGTATGTTAAGGTAAGTTTACAATGTACAGTTTTATTTTTGTAATCACTGATTGATTAGATTATTTTAGAAGACAGTACTATGTGCGTCCCTAACGCTCCTAGCGGCATTCGAAGGCTAACGTTCCAACTCCATACAAAGATACATATGTTTATTTCGCAGCATCCATCATAGACTTTATTTCGTTTTTGCCAACAAATTTACATAATGTGAACGAAGCTTAATTTTTTTGGGCGTTTCTCGCAAGGAATGCCGGCAACACAGGAAATTAAGCGTACCTATCTGTACATATCTCTAAAATATTACTTCACTTGAATACAGAGCGTAATGAATGATGCGCGCCCGAGGAATGCGAGATATATTTTAACTTTTTTCTTTTTCATAAAAGTAAATGAGTTTGTTGCATGAATTTGAGACACTTTTCATTTTGATTGTATCTTTCTTGGGGAGTTGTTTTTTTTTTTTGTACGGTTAAAAATATTTTTGACGAAACGATTACGCGTGTTCGGTTTTCTCTCTAGATACAGCGTCTATAATAATTTATCCGGTTTTTGCGAGTCGTAGACATAATTAAAACTGATTTTACGGTTTAATTTTCATTCATAAATAAGATTGTTATTATCAAGAAGAAAAAAAACTGTAGCTCAAACTGTAAAATTTATTTTAATTATACGGCGTCTATACTAACTAATATTTTTATCTCATTCGTGGAATAACTTAGAAATTCCCCAAATGTTACTGGATAGTTATTGCCTTCTATTTAGGCGTCCTGCGATGTATTTTTAATTTGGTTTTGGCAAATTATTTATGAGTAGCTATGGCCACCCGGGTTCTTGGCTGATCTCGTGTTTGTCCTGCTGAAACTGGAAACCAGTAATCCATTCTTCATTAAAAAGAAAAAGCTATACCTGCGGAGTCGCGTGCAAACAACACGCATCGCTCTTTGGAAATTAGTAGTTTCGCGAAAGAGTTCAGGCCTGTGAGGAAAGGAAGAAAGGAAAACGAAACGCAAAAAAAACCACAGCGAGGCAAATCTTCCATGACATCTTGACCGCTTTTGAACACTTTTTACCGCTCACAAGCATGTGTTTTTGATAAAGTCCTTTTATCGTAATCCTCCTGTAACATTTTCAGTGATACCGATCTCTCCGGTCATCGTTCTCGTCGAACCCGTCGCTTGCAACGAAGGGCACGGCGAGTAAATTAACCCAAAGACACAGGTGGTAGATTCTGCGAAGCATGGCTCTTGCTAGGGTTCGTGTTAGCAACATCGTCAGGTTTGAGCCTCGTGAGGCCTCTGTAACCACAGCTTAGGTAGGAAAAAAAAGATACCGAACTCGACATTCGATAGGCGATGCAAAATTTAAGACATCCTCTCTGATTTTGGCCATTAACAAATACAGAATCGCAATACAGATGTATTTAATCTAAATAATAAATTCAACTAAAACTTCGCACAGAAATGGAAAACAGTTATGCCAATCTAACAACACCGTTGTTACTGGTGGTAGGACGTCTTGTGAGTCCGCACGGGTAGGTAACACCACCCTGCCTATTTCTGCCGTGAAGCAGTAATGCGTTTCGGTTTGAAGAGTGGGGCAGCCGTTGTACTGTAAAAACGGAGACCTAAGAACTTATATCTCAAGGTTTGGCAGCATTTACATTCTAGATGTCTATGGGCTCCGGTGACCACTTAACAGTAGGTGGGCCGTAAGCTCCTTCACCCACATAAACAATAAAAAAAAACAACTACTAGAAGAAGAAAAAAGGGTTTGAAACCATAAAAAAATCATCCATTCCCGATCCTTTTTTGGTTGAATGTATGGTGAATACTAAAAGAGGCCCACATTTTCATGCATACTGAATCATCTAAATTTAGTAGGTATGTAGGTCGATATTGATTAGTATTCCTTTCAGGGTTGTTAGAAGCAATCGTGACGGGCGAACTGTAGAATCAGCAATTATTAGGCTCCAAGCGCCGAGATTAACGACTCAAAAGGTTTCGCAGCTTCTGTAGTACCGGGCCGTATTAAGGCAGGCAGAATCTATTGTTTTAAAATCGATAAGATTGTAGAATCTATAAGAATTCGGATGCCTGATACTTCGAGAATGTTTTTGTCATAGGACCATTTTTTATTTTTTATATAGCTTAAATGGTTGGACGAGCTCATGACCCACGTGGTGTTAAGTGGTTACCGGAGCCCATAGGTATCTACAACGTAAATGCCGCCACCCACCAACCTTGAGACATGATGTGTAAGTTCTCAGTTTTAACAGTACAACGGCTGCCCCACCCTTCACACCTAAACGCATTACTGCTTCACGGCAGAAATAGGCAGGGTGGTGGTACCCACCCGCGCGGACTCATAAGAGGTCCTACCACCAGTAAAACCAGTTTGTTGTTTCTGTCGTGAAGCAGTAATGGCTTCACGACAGAAATAGGCAGGTTGGTGGTACCTACTCGTGCGGCCTCACTGAGGTGCTACCAGCAGTAAAGATTTTTCTTTGTTCTTAAGTAAAATTAAAATTACTTTTACGGTTTAATCTGGTGATTTTTATTGTCCGGGCTGTGTCTGTGGGTTAATTCGCTCGCCGAGTCCTTCGTCGCAAGTCACGGACTCGACGAGAACGGTGACCGGTGCTTGAGGTACCTCGAAGCATTGATAGTTGATCGGGAGGATCCGAAATTACGTGTTTTGGGCGACGTCGTTTATGGAAAACACTTTCTCGAAATGGCGCACTGATGTCGACAAGATACTTACTGATGGAGTCTAAAGTCCAAATCGTTGTGGACATTCACGTTTATCACGGTTTCAAGTTAGTAGTTAGTGCGGGCCGCGTGAGCGAACACTACACTTGCATAGGTCATGACGGGGCGTAACAAAAGTTTTGTAGAGTGTCACTTTATTACGGAGGGGCAATTTACTTCGCTTGTATATATGCAAGCTTATCTTGAAAATGTTGTTGGCGTGATTCAGGCATCTGTCGAATGCCTTGTGTTGTCTGACAGCTACCGTCACAGTAATTTTAATTATATATCTATTTACGTACGATTCGCGAAAATGTTTCAACTTTTAGTAATTCCTTTTAGTGGTTCCGACCAGAGATCTCTCCAGACCTTTAAGATTTATAAGGTCACGAGATTTCCCCTTTACTGATTAGGTACATAATATTAACCATTTCTAAACATCAAATTCGTACTGAGGTTCGCACGTAATCTATACTAATATTATAAAGAGGAAAGATTTGTTTGTTTGTTTGTATTGAATAGGCTCCGAAACTACTAAACCGATTTGAAAAATTCTTTTACTGTTTAGAAGCTACACTGTTTCCGAGTGACATAGGCTATAATCTTTTTTGAAAAAAATTAGGGATCTTTACTAAAACTCCAATAATGAAACCCGAGGTGTAAAAAAATTACCTAAGATATTTTTTACTTCGCGTGCCCTGTGAAAACTATTGATGATAGAATAAAATAATGTCCTACGACTTTGTAGAACACATTATTATTTACAAAAGGTGCCGCGACAGCATATGTCTAACTATCATAGTTATGCCGCAATAAGTGTTCTTTTATTTAAAAAAATAAAACTACGTCAAATATCGTTGAAATTTTTGTTAAAAACCCGAGCGCAGCCGGAGCGGGCCGCTAGTAAATTAAATATAGAGACTCACTTCACCGCTTAAGTTGTTAAGCGATTGACAGTTATTTGGGTTTGTCCAAACCAATTAAAGGATTTCGAATTTTTGAGTACGTCCCCGGTAAGGATAAGGTAAAGTCAATTAAAAACTTTCATCGGCTGTCCGGTAATTAAGGTGAGTTAATTATAAGTTTCTAAGGCGGATTGTTGGCTCTGCACGCTGATGTCTTTGATCACGTTTAAATGGAATTGATGCCAGTGCCATTAACGGTTTAAATAACAGCTAATGGAATACTGAAGCTAAAGACATGAGCTTCGAGCACACACGCTGCGATCTGTGCTTTGTGAAAAACCGATAAGAGCATTTTTGAAAGCTGGATGAGTCCATAAAAAGGATAGGTATATGGCGAATCGTTGATAATACATACGGTTATTGCATGGATACTTTAGGATTTATAGCACAGTGATTATTTGAATCTAAGTTGCTAATAATTAACTTGAAGGCGCTGGTTCATATTAACTTAGATTTGATAATTAATTACCACAGTTACGTTCTATCTTGTCATATTTTATACAAACTGTATTACCTATTTTTGATTGTATTTTCCGTGCACTTTTCGAAGCTACTGTACCTACCTAAGTTTGGTCCTCATGAGGATTCATCATCAGCCCATTCCAGTGCTGGATGTAGGCCTCTCTCATAGTCCACCACAATGAACGGTCCTCCATGGGGACCCTCCCATAAGGATTAAGAGGCGAATTTTCACACTGACTGTCCTGAATCATATGAGAGCTATTTAAATCAATCCTAACTTGTGTTCATAGCAGAAAGAAAACATTCGCATTGAAAGTCAAATTATCTAAGAGCAGCCAATGAGAATTTTAGTAATCGGTCTACAGTTTTTATGAAAACACGAGATAGCTTACAGGCTGCCGCACTAGTGAAATGAAGTTTTTTTTTTAAAGTCACGGATAAAGATGTTGAAGAGGTACACCGAAAAATAACAATTCAAGGACGGGTCTGTCTTGAGTCTACATGAACTTATTCACTTATACCACAAACCTGTCTTATTTTATTGTGGAGCAATCATGCGTTCCTGTTTGAAGGGTGGGGGTGGTGGGAGCTGCTATACAATGCAATGAAGACTTCGGTCTAATTTAATAAAGTGGACGGTGCTATCCACGGGGTTTATTCACGGGCTTATCCACATTAAGTCCATTTTTTTTTGTTGCTTAGATGGCTGAAAGATCTCACAGCCTACCTGGTGTTAAGTGGTTACTAGAGCCCATAGACATCTGCAAACTGCGCCACCCACCTTGAGATATAAGCTCTAAGGTCTCAGTATAGCTACGACGGCTGTCCCACCCTTCAAACCGAAACGCATTACTGCTTCACGGCAGAGATAGGCGGGGTAGTGGTACCTACCCGTGCAGACTCACAAGAGGTCCTGCCACCAGCATAAATAAAGAACAAAGATATATCAGAGCTCGCGAAACCGGATAATGTCGTTGATACGTAAATATTGTTTTTTTTTCGATTTCCTGTAATCAAATTAAGACAAGTCGCTAATTCAATTGATTACGCACACACACACACAAGGCTGATGTTGTCCATTCATGCAGCGACCGCGTCACTCTGTGAACGTGTCGAGGTCGTCACTCCGCAAAATGAACTATTTAATTTATTGTGTTTTGTTATGTGCAGTTTGTGTTAGTGCTAATTGGGCACCATTCAAAGCGCTGTTGTATTCGGATTGGATCGAATGTAAGTGACATGGGTGAATCATTATACCATAAATACTCTTATGTACTTGTGGTATTAGTGTGTATTATGTTCGAACGGAAGAGTTCACGATACGCCTGGGAGAGAATTGGAAAAACATCGTTATGGCCTAAAAAATAAGACTCCCAATTTATGTGACTATGCTGGTGTTCATATCATGCATCTAGGTTCGAATTTTTCTAATGCAATATGTACTTGATAAATATTTATGAATTGATTCCACGATGAAGGAATAGAGTTGTGTAATATAGAAAATAGGTGTCAGGTCAGGTGTTAAGGCGTTTTAAGAGTTCGCACGGTTAGGTACCACCCCCTCGTATTACTGACTTACACGAAGCCGCAATGCGTCCTGATCTGAAGAGTTGTTATTAATTTTTATTTTATATTTTTCATCTTGATCAGTTTCGATTGCTGTGGTTAGCTGTCATTGTATTGAACAATCGGAATTTGATCTAAACAGTGAGATTTCTATGTTCTGTACAGGTTCAAAATCGATCTTCTTATAAGTTAATACAGAAATGAATAATTATACATTAACATGATTTTTATAAGCTCCGTTGTTGTGGTTGATAATTCTCGATAAGAAGGTCGAGAGAGCAACCTCGATTTTAATAGCATACAGCTTGTAAAAAGTCGCACGCTAAATAATGTAAAAAATGGCCCGGTTTAAATTTTACACTGTGACAAAAATTGATGTAACAGTTCGTTGACGTTCGGTTGTATACATTGCTTGTTTTTGAAGCGTAAAATGTGATCTTAAATGCAGTCACAGTTGGAGTAACAATAGATGAAAAATAATTTTATTAATAAATAAAATTATTTTTTTACTGGTGGTAGGACCTCTTGTGAGTCCGCGCGAGTGGGTACCACCACCCTGCCTATTTCTGCCGTGAAGCAGAAATGCGTTTCGGTTTGAAGGGTAGGGCAGCCGTTGTAACTATACTTGAGACCTTAGAACTTGTATCTCAAGGTGGGTGGCGCATTTGCGTTGTGGATGTCTATGGGCTCCAGTAACCACTTAACACCAGGTGGGCTGTGAGCTCGTCCACCGATCTAACCAATAAAAAAAAAAAAAAAAAATATATATATATATATATAATGTATGATAATAGATGCCTTCACGATCTCATACTACCCTTGAATTTACAGCATTTATTGAAGTATAATGTAAAGTAAATCACAAATATCGCTACTTACATTTGAGCTCATCATTACTCATGAAAACAGTAATTTGGATTGTCGATAATCTTAGTTCTCAGATTGCTTGGAAGGATCTCCATCTATGATTTTGGTATTATTTGCATTTAGATGATTTGTTTTCTCTTCATCAGTATCAAACTACACGTCACTAGGAACGGGTTCATCCTTACCTGGCATATTATGTATTTCTGCAAACGAGGCCTAGAATAGCTAGAAGGTTAGCTAATTGCATTGCTTATATCCACGTTCTCCAGCAGGGGTTTTCAAACTTATTATGTACCGTCTACCGCTTACCGTCTACTGCCCACTTTGAGAATAAATTATTTTTTAGCGCCCTCATTTTTTTACCTACTTAAAAACCACTATAGCGAGAGCTCAGTCGGTGTCTAAGAGTCCTCCTAGGTGGAATTACAAATCGTCTCCCAAGCCTCTACACAACGTCCTCTTTTTTCTGGGTCTCTTACCGCCCCCTTTAGGCCTGCAGAGCCCATAAGGGGGCGTTATCGCCCACTTTGGGAAAGGCTGTTCTACAGTGACCGCTCATCATCAGAAACCAGTATATTCATCTTCCTCGCCTTCCAATACAAGATAGAAATAAAAACAGTAGTAACTTCACTTGTATTCTTTTACCTTTGTAGTTCTAGTGGTAACCGCCCTGCCTGTTGGTGGGTAGGACATGCTAATCTAATCGAAGTTTGTATGGATTATGTTAACAGCTAAAGTTCATTCTTGTATGGCTATACTAGTTTATACGTCGTTACGTAACCATTATTGTTCGAGATACAGTAGCGTTACTAATAAATGTCAATGAAGCGAATCAAGGTCTCGTTAGTCATGTGCCGTGTACCTTCTGTTACAGCATGACTCTGTGGTAGACGGTAGACAGGTGATGGCAAATTTCCTTCTTATTTTCCTTCTAAATTTTAGTGAATATGGTATTTCCGCTTCCCACTCGACCGCGACCATCTACAACTCTAATAACGTAAATACCATATTACGTAGTTTTTGATATTAGGTTTATCACATTGAGCGTTATGCCTTTGATGGACTAGATCGTTAAAAGTCATTTTATTCAAATTGCCGCGTTCATTAAAACGCCTTTCATATACATACACATTAATATTTAACAATAACAATAGTAACATTTTTTACTTGTTTTTTTTATTATATTGCGTAGGTACCTACTGGTTTTCGTCAAAAATTTGTTTCTTATCAAAGTATACTTAATATGTTTAAATTAAAAAAAAAATGGAACTAAACTCAGATAATGATTGGTCGGTCTGATGCTGATGTGCGCGTCACTCCGTAGTACCGACTTCGATCACCGTCCTCGCCGAAACCATCGCTTGCGACGAAGGGCTCGACGAGTAAATAAACCCATAGACACAGCCCACTTAGTTTCTCACCGGATCTTCTCAGTGGGTGGCGTTTTCGATCCGGTGGTAGATTCTGCGAAGCACTGCCCTTGCAGCTCACCTACTTGTTAAGGTTACGCTGAAATGGTCTCTCAAGACCATCAACTTAGGAAGAAAAGAAAAAGTACTGATTGAGTCGCCACTGTTAGGCATTGCTGAGCCGGTAACCTTTTTCAAGCCTCGTTATTTTTCTTTTAATTTTTGTAATTAACGCTTGGAATAAATATTTATTATTATTATACATATATTCGTGATTTTCCTGTTTTTCTGCTTTCATGATTGCTATTATAGTGTGCCGTGTGCAGGATTTGTAATTCTTCATTACTAATCAGTGATACACTTAAGTGGACGTTTAAATCATCGTGGATGATGTGTAGAAATTGGAAAAAGTATAATAATATTTACCAATGCACGGTCATAGTATCTCCTAGTTTGCTATCGGTAGTATCAAATATAGAAATTTCGAAGATTTTTATTTATATTACACGATGTCATTCCTTCATAGTGGACACGTTTCAGACATGCGTATTTAATTAAAAGCTGATGATTTAGGTACCGGCATGTTTGGAACACACACGCATATGCATTTAGCGTCTTACCATATCTTTACAAAACCTGCTCATACGCCTGGTTTATATCTATTCCAGGTAACCACAACAAGACCCTAAATTTAGGCGTAAGCGAGGTGCAAGTTTACTTCTACGACTTCCAGAACAATTTCAACACCTCATACCCGATAGATGTCGCTGTCGAGGGTATCACTTCCACCTATAACTTGGATGTGACGAGGAAACTTATCTTCTATGTACCGGGATATAAGAGTCAGATTGACAAGAACAATCCAGAACTAGTCAGACAGACCTTCAAGGACGTTCAAAACACGTATCTAATAATAATAGATCATTCCAGTTACACTTCGGACAGAGGTGGAAGATTCGAGAGCTACGCAAGATCGGTCAGTTTCGTCTATTACATTGGTAAAGCTTTGGGCAAAGTGTTGGCCGATCTGCACAACAAAGGGTATCCGTCGAAAAATATACATTGTATTGGACACAGTTTGGGAGCTCAGATGTTGGGCCACGTTGGTACGACGTACACCGAATTGACCAACGAAAAAGTTTGGAGAGCCACCGGTATAGATCCGGCCGGTCCTTGCTTCTCGAATAGTTTGATTCAGGAGCAAATACGTTCCGGTGTTGCTGAATACGTTGAGGTGTACCATTGTAACGCCGGGGAACTGGGAACCACAGCCGTTCTGGCCGACATAGACTTCTTCATGAACAAGAAAGGAAAGAAACAGCCTCCATGTCACGAGGGTTTGATACCGGCGAAAGGTGATTCGGATGCCGCGAAATGCAGTCACAAAGAATGCGTGAAGTATTATATGTTGAGCGTCCACCATCCGACCTGGTATCTGGCTTGGGCGTGTGACAAATACGACGACTTCAAACATGGCAAATGCGCGGCCCATGAAGTAACATTAGCCGGGTATCATAACCCCGGTAACGCTACCGGAGTCTTCTATGTGTCAACTGAAGGATATGGGATAGATTAATTAAAACTAGATTAATTAAAATTAATTAAAACTAATATTAAAACTAGTGGCCCCACAGTAGTCGAAATTCGACTATAATTAATTGAAATTCTAAGTTTGAAAATTATTTTGGTTCTATTGTCAAAGACTATATTCTTTAATAACAGATTTCGCCACTACAGATAGGCAAATAATATTAAAGACAAACAATTTTTAATGTATTCTCAATTTTACGACAGATTTTAAACAATAAAAAAAGTTTGACAATAAACAAAGAGTATATTTATCTGTGTTGTGTCAAATACATGGTAGTGTGTGTGTATTATTGATTTAATGTATTTCTTATGTATAATTTAAAAAGAAATAACATTCTACACTTCTTCTCTATATTATCTATAAGCGTGGGAAATTTCATACTCCTCCGTCGGCGCAATTTTGGTAAAAAGGGGTATAAAGTTTTTGCTTCACGTATTAATTATACAGATGTCTTTAATTTAACAGTGGGGGTGTAGAGTCGAATGTTTTGATAGGATTCCATTTTTACGAAGGAGACTATGTCCAAACTACTTGTACGAAATGAAAGTTAATATAATCATGATGAATTCGATTTGAATCGAATTCGAGATGCGATCGATTGTAATACTGTTTTTTTTACGTAACTAAAGTTATGTTAATTAATTTAAATACATCAATATTAGCGAAGTAAATTTCATTAGTGGAATTGGAATTAATTAAATGATAAAATATGTTTATTTTTTATTTTCTAGTTTTTTTTTTCTAACCGACAGCCATGTGCATAATAATTGTAAGTAAATTAGAGATTCCAAAAACGATTATATTTAGTAAGCATTTATAAATAAAATAAATATAGTAATCTATATATATAAAAATGAATCGCTGTTCGTTAGTCTCGCTCAAACTCGAGACCGGCTTAACCGATTTGGCTAATTTTGGTCTTGAATTATTTGTAGAAGTCCAGAGAAGGTTTAAAAAGTAGATAAAAAAATAACAATTTTGTTTTTCCTTTGATGTGTCCCCCGTCGGACAGATTCCTTTTGTTTGTTTTAAGTTTATTTTATACAAAAGTTTAGGTCTTTTATTTACCAATTGAGGCACTACGAAGTCTGCCGGGTCAGCTAGTCTTAAATAAAAGTATCTTTGAATTTCGACCTTTAATAGCATTGAACTTTAGAATTATTGAGCAAAAAAATTTATTGTGCGTAGGTCTCTTGCGTAAGCTAGTAGATTTAAGAATAGCTTGCTGACAGCTCATTCTGTGTTTTCGCTGACTGATCAGCTAACATTTAGGATTGCCACAACATTTATGCTTGTTTGATTTAACACTCAGTTTTACGATGAGTCATAATGGATTTTAACGTACCTTTGTGGTGACAGGATTGTAAGAACACGATTTGGATATGAAAATAGCATGTATGCTGAAGAGGAGAAGTCTGCAAAGAAGCGAATCTAAATATTTTTTCTTTTTTTTTATTACTTAGGTGGGTGGACGAGCTCACAGCCCTCCTGATGTTAAGTGGTTACTGGAGCCCATAGACATCTACAACGTAAATGCGCCATTCACCTTGTCCGTATATGACTTAAGTTCTAAGATCTCAGTATAGTTACAACGGCTGTCCCACCCTTCAAGCCGAAACGCATTACTGCTTCACGGCAGAAATAGGCAGGGCGGTGGTACATGCTCGTCCGGACTCACAAGAGGTCCTACCACCAGTAACACTGTATTCTTTTAATTTTTCATCAAATTTGAACCAAGTATGTTTTATTAATAGTTTAAAGTTTTAGAATGGTCTAAAGTTCTTATGTCAATAGTCCGTGACTAATTAAATCGTGAAGTACATTGATTATCTTCTAAGTTAACGTTGATTTTTGTTTAAAATTAAGCAAGTGTTAACTGTAAAAACAGGTTTAACTATGTCTACATTTCGCTGAGTTTGAATAGAATACGCTACATTAGTTAAATATTTATGTAAAGAAAAACCTTCACTCTTTAGTTTCTAAAAAGGATTTCTTAGCTATATGTCATTCAGTGAAGTTTGAAATTCAGTAAAAAGAAAGTTCAGTTTGTTTAAAAATATTAATTTTATTAGATTAAGGGCTTTAAATGTTGTTTTCTCATTATACATATAACAGAAAATGCAATTAAGTATTTTATTGTTTATTTATTCTGGAGTACCCACTATCATTATATTTATATATTTGAAATGTTTCTTTTAATAACAGACTACAATCTTAAGAGTATCTTTTGCCTATTTTCCCTGTAACACAAAGACGAAAGAAATGAAAACTGATGCACGCTATAACTCACTTTGCATTGTCAAACGAATATATGAGACGCGGGGTGTGTGGAGTGATTTATGGGACCGTGCTTATGGTTTATTATTTATCTCTGGCGGCTTAATGACGTAGAAGTTAACTTGTTGGCAGCCTTATAGGCTTGGATGTTATTTAGGTTGATTGTTTTTTTTATATATTGCATTGATGGGTGTACGAACTCACAGTCCACCTGGTGTTAACTGGTTACCGGAGCCCATAGAAATCTACAACGTAAAACACCCACCTTGAGATATGAGTTCTAAGGTCTCAGTGTACAGTTACAACGGCTGCCCCACCCTTCCAACCGAAACGTATTACTGCTTCACGGCAGAAATAAGCGGAATGGTGGTACCTACCCGTGCGGACTCACAAGAGGTCCTACCACCAGTCGACTCTGTGTTTCTAGTTTTCTAGTATTTTTAGATTTAGTTTCTAGTATTTTTTTTGGCAATTTGAAATCACAGCCTTCGATGTTCGTAAATCTAAAGTATATTCAGTATTAGAATCGACAGAAATTTCAAATGAAAAATGTACAGTCGAGATTCAATCGTAAAAATAGTTTTTTATTACGCACTAACATCGTTTACAGATGTATCCAATGTCGTAAAATACAGAAGACGTTGCGAAAAGTACCAAGAATACGCTGGTAGTCTCGTTGTAAGATCTTGTTTAAGCTCTGGGCATAAAAAAATTATGTCAAAACGTTTATCAGTTGCCATGGAAACAAACTAAGGGCACCTTAAATATAGAAATCTTTGGAGCCTCGTGAACCGATCAAAACCTTTGGTGTCTTGATACAGTTGAAATCAAAGCACATTATAGCTTCAAAGAAATTTGAAGTCGTCATGGCTTAAAGGATGAGACGCCCAGTGTGCTCTGAGGAATTGTTTGAGATTCAAATTCAAATTCAAATTCAAAATCATTTATTTCAACTTGGATGTCATCAAAAACACACTTGTTGAATGTCAAAATGTAAAAGAAAATGTTAACTCTACCACCGGTTCCAAAAAAAGCCACAGTCCTGAGAAGAACCGGCGAAACAAACTCAGCGGGCTTTTTTTTTTTTTCTATTTTCTCAACTATTTTCTTTTTTTAAACAAGAAAACATATTTACAGTATACAAAAAAACAAGTCAAAAAAATACAATTCAAATAAATAATAATAATAATGAAAAATGAAAAGGCCAGGAGCGAACGCCTCATTCCCACGTAGTGCCATCTAGTAAAAAATCCTTAACTTTATAATATGCCTTGTTGCACAAACGTTCCTTGACAGTTTTCTTAAATCTATGAACAGGTAGTAGTTGAACGTTTTGTGGGATCTTGTTGAAAAGTTGTACACCCAGCCCCCTGAAAGAGTTGCTTATTTTCTTAATTCGAGCCGCCGGCAACGCAAGCCTATGTTTGTTCCTAGTGTTCACATTATGCAAATCGCAGACTCTGGGGAATTCTACAATGTTTTTACGCACGTACAATAAATTTTCAAAAATGTATTGGGACGCTAAAGTTAGAATTTTGATTTCCTTAAACTTGTCCCTCAAGGATTCCCTCGGGTGCATATTATAAATAGCACGAATAGCCCTCTTCTGCAGGATGAAAATCGTTTGATGATTCCAATCGATGATTCCATCATCTCGTTTTTAACATCGCACCGCCCGCCACCGGAGTGGAGTTCATCCATACTACCTGGAGCCACTGCGTTCATCCACAGTGCGTTTCCAGAGATCTTTTTTGCCACGTACCATCCGGCTATGGAATGAGCTCCCCTCCACGGTGTTTCTCGAGCGCTATGACATGTCCTTCTTCAAACGAGACTTGTGAAGAGTACCTAACGGTAGACAGCGGCTTGGCTCTGCCCCTGGCATTGTTGAGGTCCATGGGCAACGGTAGCCACTCATCATCAGGTGGGCCGTATACTCGTTTACCTACAGGGGCAAAGCCGGATGGTACGTTGGTTTTACTGGTGGTAGGACCTCTTGTGAGTCCGCACGGGTAAGTACCACAGCCCTGCCTATTTCTGCCGTGAAGCAGTAATGCGTTTCGGTTTGAAGGGTGGGGCAGCCGTTGTAACTATACTGAGATCTTAGAACTTATATCTCAAGGTGGGTGGCGCATTTACGTTGCAGATGTCCATGGGCTTCAGTAACCACTTAACACCAGGTGGGCTGTGAGCTCGTCCAACCATCTAAGCAATAAAAAAAAAACGTGGGAAAAAGAGCTCTGGAAACGCACTGTGGATGAACGCAGTGGCTCCAGGCAGTATGGATGAAGTCTACTGCGATGTCAGGCGGTGCGATGGTAAAAACGAGACGATGGAATTCTCAATTTCTCCCACGTTTTCTCGTCACAAATCGCTTTATAGGTTGTTTGTTTGTTTGTTGTTCCACCGCGCCGATGTGCGGTAAACACGACACAGTGGCGGTCGGTTCCCGTGAAATTACGCGAACACGCGACTGATTAGCGCGACGGTAATTTACCTTATCTAGATTTTCGTGAAACGTGAGCATTGTTAACATATCTATTTATTTATTGTTGAGACGGTTGTGTGGTTGATGGGGCCTATAGACATAACTGTGCGAACGTCGGGCCGCTCATCTTAAGACATGAGGCTTAATTTCTCAGGTGAAAGTATTAGGGCTGACCCATCTCTCAAACTGGAATGTTTTAACGCTTCGCGGCTGAAATAGGCAGGGTGGTTTTGTACACTAGTAATTAGACTAATTCCATATTTTTTTAAGTGATGCTTCTTTAGGTGGATTGAGAGTAATATTTTACTCGCGAC